ACCTGATAAAACGCCCCCCTGGTCACGGCCGACAACTGGTCTTCCAGTGTCAGCCGTGGGTCCAGGAGGACCCCCAGATTGCGTACCCTCTCCGAGGGAGCCAAAATTTCACCCCCTATAGTCAGCGATGGAGTCAGCTGACTATGCCGAGGCGCCGGCAGCCACAGCCACTCGGTCTTGGAAGGGTTGAGCCTGAGTCAGAGAAAGGGCTCATTCAGCCAGGCATCACATTGTTCAGGCCATCGCAGGGAATCCTCACCAACAGAAAGTTCATTTATTATTCATCTATCCTTCTTCAGTAAAATTGTAGAGACTAAATGTCCATAAATCAGGAGGAGGCAACTTTTGGGGTTAAGGTCACAGTTGGCTTTTAAATGGCATTTTGGGGACAGACTCCAAAAAATTGGAGGTCAACACAAACATTTTAAAAAAATTTAAAATGAAAATAATTAAATATATTTAATAATTAATATAATCACTCCTCACATATTTACAATAGTTCTCCTTGTAAAATATTTCATTCAGCACAACTTTCAGAGGAGTTGTAAGGCTCACATACAAGATTTTGAAAGTGATGAGAGCCACATACAATCCCAAGACCTTGGGTCATACATTCTTGGCTATAAAGCAATATTTAGCATAGTATATATAGGGATGCTCAGCTGAAGTTTATAATCTCCAGCTGTGTTGGGAGCTATTAGTACTCCCTTGCCACTCATTAAAACTCCAGAAATAGCTTCTATCTCACTCATCATTACTTCTGTATGTTTAATTACAATTCAGGTAAGGTAAAGTTGTACTGCTGAAATTATACTAGTGCTATTTGGAATTAGCATCTGTTACTATTGCTTAATAACCCTGACCCAATAAGAGAGAGGATATTTTAGCAAAGGCTGAACTGAGCTCCTAATTTCCTAGTTAGGAGAGCTGCAATAAACATTGCGGAAGGAACAGCTGAGCTTTTTCTAAAGAATGCCAGAGATAATACTGGATAACAGAAGTGGCTGTATATGGTAACACTGGTCAAAATATTCACTCAGCTTTCTACAGGAAGTTGTTTGAACATTCACCTTTTTTTAATGACAGACAAAACTTCACAAGAGATTTCAAGGATAAAAATCAGACTTCTCAAATTAGACATCTGAAGATTTAAAATAGTACTCAGCACCAGTATTGTAGGCCTATGTGTATTTACATTATTCAAAAGAAGATTTTACATAATGTTATGGGATTTATTCTTAGTGTATAGTATTCATTTTTTATCCAGAAGAGTGTGAATAAGTAACATGTTTGATAATCAAATGGTGTCAAGTGGAAAGATGGTTCCTCAAACCAAGAGTTATTTTATGGCCTTCCTCAGGGTTTCATTGTGTCTCCAATATGGATATATGTGCTCAATATCCATATGAAATAAATGGGGCTGTTCATCACAGGATTTTGAGCAGCGTGCTATCAGTCTATTTTTATATGAAGGTGTTGCACTAGTATAATATTGGGTTGGATGAGCTACAGTAAGTTAAAGCTGAATCCAGATGAGGCAGATGTATTTGTGGAATGGGAAGAGGAGTGTCACACTTGAAAGTTTGGAAGTGATTTTGGATCTTCCATGATTGATTACCCTGAGATAGCAGAGAGGAGCTCTTTCATTAGCTTTAGCTAATATGCAAACTAGAACTCAAAATCTCCAAAAGACCAATGATGCCTCTGATACTAATATTACTGTCAGCCCTTGAGGAAAGCCAAGTCAAGAGACTGGCTCCACATGAAATATTGAAACTCTACTTTGTTTATATACGCTGTAATAACTCAGTCTTCAAAGACTAACAATATTTCCCTTTCATTTGCTCCTATACCAAAGACAGTCAAAGCAAGTCAACTTTAAGATTCTTTCTCATACTACCTTGTCTTCCTGAGCTTAATCCACATTTGGTTAACAACCTTGGCATTTGCAGGGTCAACTCTGTGATTTTTTAATTGCACTGGGTTTCTTTTTGGATGAAATATCAAGTACTGATTATCATAGTGACCCTGGACTGTTCTAGTGCTTCCAAACAGGCTTTGGAACATGAATAGAAATATGGACATGGCACTTGTGTGCAACACTTTAAAGCAGCTGGGTTCCTTTTTAACGATTGCATATCTGTTCTGTGTCACTGCTCTTGGTCCCACCAAAAGGTACAATTGTTTTTAGGCATAGCAGAAAGGTGCCGTATTTATTTTCCTTCCCCTTTGGAAGATCAGATATAAAATGCTGCACTTTCCTGTAGCCACTTCACTTCTTTGTTATTAAGGGCATTATTTTTTCTTCTAATATTAAATTTTAATTCATTTTAATACTTTTTGCTTCAACTCCCTCCTGCCTTCTTATTCAAAACTTGAGAGACTTCAGGAGACAACAGCATGTGCAACATAATACCTGCATGCATAGCATGGATGTTGTCTATACATGCAACAGTTAATAAGAAGCCAAAAGCTTGCTGAGGCAACTGATAGATTTGATTGTCTTCTGAAAGGCAAAACAAGATGCACCCAAGACTGTCTGGTATTTTGAAATTTGACCAAATATTATCAGACTAGCAAAAGTCATGCTCTTCATGCTTAGATTGGATAGCTTTCTTGTGATGAGATGGATACTAATCCATCATTTGTCCCTCTCCATTCAGCAAAAGTTCTCTAATTCTTCATGAGAATATTTTTTTCCCAAATCACTGGCTATTTTATAAAATCTGCTGGTCAACACAACACAAAAACACAAATGTTTTTCTGATCGCTTACTTTCTCATTCTGTCCTTCTGATTTCTCTGAAAGAAATGAAAAAAATCTGATGGGATCAAAAGGTCAGATCCTTTTTTTTTTTTTTTTTTAGAAAAACCAGGCTAAAACTAGAGAAGCTTTGGCCTTTCAGCTCTTATCAGAAAAGAGTAGGATATATACCAGGCCACTTAGAAGCAATATACAGAGGACAAACCTTTTTAGGGGCAAAAGTTCAAATTGCGTATCTTTTTGGCAGCTGTTTCAGCAGTGGATGGTCATCCGAAAACAGCTTGAACCAGATAACCTTTCAAAAGCTGATGCTGCAAAAGGATTTTTGCCATTTATTGAGAGCCTGAAGAAAGCAACAAAAGAAGAAATCTTACAGCTACTGAGAAATGAAAATAATACAGAAATACTGTGAGTTGCTAGCAACGGGTTTTACTCTTTCTGCAATAACATGTCCATTTTAAATTTCAGTAAGCTTTGGAGAAAGATTTATTGAATTTTGTAAAGTTATATAAGATTAGACCTATTATGGTCAACATGAATAAAATACCAAAGCACTGTTGTGATTGTTGCTTGTTAGCACAATATGCACTGTTTCAAGCCACTATGAGCTAGATCAGAGGTCCTTATGTTTTTTCCAGGATAAGCCATAAACAAATCACTAGTAAGCCAGCTAATATTATTATTAAAAAATTGCCTTGTTAGTCAGGCCTTATTACCCTGGTTTCAAATCTAACTTTAGGTTCAAGTAGTTTTGAATTGCAAAAAATATGCAAAATCAGTAGAGGGCAGAAAGGAGACATAGAGCAATGCTATCTTTTTGCTGCCAGCTAGCGCTGTGTGGAATTTTTTATGGAAGCTTGTGTTGCACAAACCTGTTGTGTAGCTGCTCAAACTGACTAGTAGAAACATGAAACACTCTCCAGGTAGTCCTGGCATAAAAATGGCAATTGGGACTGACAACTCTATCACTCAGTTATGTGGATGTCACACAATCACTATTTGCAACTCCTGTCAGCTTTCCCATTGACTTTGCTTGTCGGAAGCCGACGGGAAGATTACAAATGAAAATTGTGACAGTGGGATGCAGCAACCATTGTAATTATGAGATAGTTGCCAATTGTGATCACATAATGGTGGGGATGCTGCAACAGGCACGCACAACCTCAAGGACTAGCCATAAATCTCCTTATTCAGTGCTATCATAACTTTGTTCAGTAAGCAAGGACTAGCTGTAATCCAATAAAGTTATCAAAAATGCAGGAAGACACAGCAACAGCAATGTATTTTAAAATAAATAATTATTAACTTTTTATTTCTCTGCTTGGCCTCCATACAGTCCCCAGCTGGTTGATACTGTGGCCTCCACACATACCTCAGCCTCTCTGGATGCGATGTTAGATTTTCTGGATTTCAAGAACAAGAGTGGATCTCTCCTTCAGGAACGATTCCTCTATGCTTCTGGTTTCACTTCTCATCCCAGTGAGATATTACTCAGATCTTTAATTGTAAGTTACCCATGGCAGTCAAGGAAACGTGACTACAGCACGGTTTTTAAGAATATATTTTTTTTCTGAGAAACACTCTTTTCTGGAGAGCTGAACATAAGCTTTTGGAAGTCACCTCCTTGAATCAAATGAGACTAGCCTTTGACACACCCTTTGGTTTGGGTTGCACTTAGTACCATTAGCAACATGGTAAAAATAATAATTAAAGTAAAAACAAAACCCTTATGAATAAGGATAAATAAGTGCGTTTGGAATTCAAAAAAATCAGTACCATTAGTGAAAATGCACATAACAATGTGACTAAAATTCCTCTTCCTCCTAGTATGCAATTAGCACCAAGAAAAATGTTTGAGGGTGCTGTTTAATGGGATTTTTCTTCCCTCTACTGCTAATTTTAATGTGGAGAGAAAGATATGCTTATTCAAATTATGATTGGGACAGGTAAGTTTAAATTCCCCCACCTTTCATACTGCAATATGGATTATTTTTTCTCTCCTGATTCTTAATTAAAAACAACATTTTAAAATTGATAGCCAAAAGATGCTCTATGGAGCAGCAGATCTGGTGGTTTCTTCCTGATGAGATGAATACCAATCCATCATTTATCCTTTCCCATTCAGCAGAAGTGCTCCAATTCTTCATTAAAATATTTTTTCCAAATCACTGGCTATTTTGTAAAATATTGTCTATAGCACAGCACATTGGTAGTTGGGCTGATCCTTCTTGAATAAGGAGCATTATTCCCTCCAGTCATAAAACAGGACTTGGAACATTTCCTCAAGAGGATTGGTATCATTTATTTATTTTATCAATTTATTCAATTTATATGACCATCCATCTCAGATATTTCTCTTGGTGGCTTCCAGGAAATCAAAACAAGATAAAAAGATAACAAAACAATAAATAAGAAATATAGCAGCCTAGATAAATCCTAGCAAACAGCTCAATCAACCATCGTATGGGCTCAACCACATACTCAGGCGTCAAGTTTGGCAACAGAACCAGGTCTTTAAAGCCTTAGAGAAAACCAGTAGGATTAAGTCATGCTAGCTTTGTGTAAGCTTAGTGTAAGCTCAATTTAAAAAAAAAAAGGTTTGTGCCAAATTATCCAAAGGTATTGTAGACATTTTTAAATGTTAGATTTAAGGAGTCAATAATGACACTATTTACTTTTTTTTAATACAATAGAATAAATACAAGAGTCCAATTGGTAGCAATGAAATCAGAGAAATGGTTATTATTATTTCTGGAGCACTCATCAAAAAACTGTGCAATGTAGGAGGCTGCAAACTGCCTGTAAGTATTTTCTGGTTTCCTACACGAGTAGGAAATAATGCAATACAGGTAGTCCTCAATTTACACCAGTTTCTTAGCAACCATTAGAAGTTACAATGGATCTACCTGGAGGCTATTCACAATCCAGATTCAAAGTTCTGATGGACAACCCCCTGTGGTCACATGACTGAACTTCAAGAGCTTGGCAATCAGGCCGCATTTAGGGACTGTTTTGGCATCCCACAATCACAACTATTTTACAATGGTTTTGCTAAACACCAGCATTTGCTTCCAATTTTTTGGCAAAAATATGCCCATAGCAAATCATTGGTTTGTTTAATGACTGCCACAAAAGAAGATAATAAAATTTTATGACTGTCACACGACTGACAACCAAAATGAGCAGGCTCCATTACCGATGTAAGTTGAGAACTACCTGTATGCACTTAATGCAAATGTGAAATTTCATTTAAGTTCCTCTAACTATTACTGAATCCTGTTATTAAATTTGCTTGAAAACAATCCTTCCTTTCTCTGTGCATCTGACAATTTCCCTTTCCTTTATTCCACTGATGCCCCTCAAGAGCAATCTTCCAAATAATTCTTATTTTGCTTTCCTCACTCCTTTATTATTTCTCATCCTTATTCTCTTCTCCTTGTGTCAGCCTCCTTCTGCTTTCTGTTTTCTTTGCTTGGCTACTGCTGTAATGTTATCTATCCACGAAAGACTAGCATGATCACTGGGTGAGGGAGCGTGTCACTTCCATATACTGCAGAGTACAATGGTATGCTATCTGGGCTATATATAAATGGCCCAGAGTAGCAGCCACAATTGTATTTTGCTCTTAAAATAGCTCACAGATGCTTGTTTTATCTCCCCTACTCCCATCCCAAATTAGATATAGACAATCTGCAAGCCACATGTGGCTCTTGGACTAATTTCCAAAACTCTCTGCACAAGATCACTTCAACCTCGGCAAAGAGATTTTGCCCTTTTCCCATTGTTGGCTACTTGGGAAAGAGAAGGGGTTGTTAGATAATAAAAGGAAAAGACGAAGCTCTTTCACTGTCTCCTAACGGCATTTCCACATACCATTATATCTTCCCATTATGTAAATCCTTGCCAAAGACTCCTGAGGAAATGCAGTCCTTGATGGAAAAAGGTTTGTCCTTAATGCCCTGAAGAATAGACCAATATGATGCTCTCCGGTGATCTCTTGCCCAAAGGCTTAAATCATAATTAATGTCATATTCATAATATTATGATCAAATACTTTATTAGATTCATCAAATCTAAGAAGAAAGCACGATGGATGACGTGTAATAAAGTGCAATATAGGTTGTCCTTGACTTACAACTATTCCTTTAGTGACCATTCAAAGTTACAATAATACTGAAAAAAGTGACTTATAACTTCTTTTCACCCTTAAGACTGGTGCAGTCTCCCCATGGTCATGTGATCAAAATTCACATGCTTGGCAATTGGTATGTATTTATGAGGATTCCACTGGCCCAGGATCATGTGATCATCTTTTGTGCCTTCTGACAAGCAAAATGGGGAAGCCAGATTCACTTAACAACCGTGTTACTAACTTAACAACGGCAGTGATTCACCTAAGAATAGTGGCAAGAAGGGTCATAAAATGGGGCAAAACTCACTTAAACTGTCTTGCTTAGCAACAGCTGTGGTCATAAGTGGTGGTTGTAAGTCGAAGATTACCAGTATACTTTTCTTGATTGATAGTTTTTTTATATATTTGTTCCTCATTTTACTATAGTAGGTTCCCCTAGATCAGACATGTCAAACTCACAATGTCACGTGACGTCGCGCAACGTATCAGAGCTTTTTCGCCATTGCTGGCAATGGGGTGGGTGTGGTTTCCCGATGACGCATCCGGCCCGTGGGCCGGCAGTTTAACACCCCTGCCCTAGATTCTCTTTGGTGCACTATTAATATAATGGGGTCGATTCTTTCCAGGCTGTTGTGGAAGCCAAGAAACTGATATTGCAAGGCTTGAACAGAGCAGATAAAGTTGATGATGTGAAGATGTTCCTTTTGGCACTGAAAAATGCCCTTTTGCCAGAAGCTGTCCCTGTGCTGCTGAAATTTGCTGAGTCAGGAGAAGGACCTATCAGCAACATTGCTGTTACTGCTCTACAGAGATATGATCATTCATCCATAACTACTGAGGTAAATAAAAAGGTTTTTTTAAAGAGTATCATATTATTCCCTGTTATCTGATGGGACTTCATTTAGAGAGAGGAGTTGTAAATACATCCGTGCATTTGACCAAAGAACCCACAAAGATTATGGAGTTCTCATGCAAAATCCAAGAGACTGCTAAGTTATACCTTTACATTTTTATATCAGCAACTATTTTAAACAACAGCTGTCATTCTGCCCTTCCAGAAAATTGCCCCAAATTTGGCTAGATCATCCAGTCTTAAAAATGTTGAAATCTTGAGCTATGAAACTTTATGGGATTTTGATGATCTCATGTATGACTTAAAAATTCTTGTAATTAAAAAGGTAATGTTAACATAACTTGAGCAGTTTATATACGCTGTCGGGAGTTATTGCAAGTCCCATATTGCCAACCCTTGTTTTAAAATTTTCTACATCCAAACAGGGAAAAGCTGCAGGCAAGGTAATGCTTGGACAGCCTCCTTACTTTCAGATTTTCCTGCTTGCAATCTTGATGGAAACATTTTATTCAAAGAATAAGAATCAAAATCTCTGTTAATTCTCTCTATCAGAAGGAAAATAACATTTATTAAACAAAAAGTAAAAGGTAAAATAAATATTAGAAGAAGAAGAAAAAATTCCATTGAGGATTATGAAAACCTATACATAGGCAAATTTAAATTCTTGTCCATTTCTACATTTTCTGTGAAAAGATATGGATGCCTCCCTCTTTTGTGATAAAAGAGTAGTTTCTATGTATTCACTGTTTTAAACTCACTTTTATGAGAAGTAACTCTCATTCTAAATTCTGTACATTCCATATATGTTGAACCACAAATTCCATTAGCTAGAAATAGTGGGAGTTGTTATCCACTATATCTTTAAGGTTAGAAAAGGGTGACTTGATTGCTCTGGTATGGACAGAAATATATTTAACATTTTGGGAGAAGAACCATGTTTTGGTCTTTCCATGTATCTCTTCATAAGAAATCTGAATATGTGATCCAGGGTGAAGTCCAATTTGCAGAAAGGTGAAAATGAAATGAGTTTTGGGATTCGTATTGCTAGGTTGTCTAGCAATTAACCCCACAGCTTTCAAGTGTGATGCATGACTATAATATCCTGTTATTTTCTACCACCACCAAATAAGGCACATGTTAACCAAAATTTACTATTTTTTTCACCAGTTTGAGAGAACTGGGGGTGGGAGGTCAAATTCCTAGGTTGTGTGATCCTGACACAATCATTTGAATTTTGGTACCATCCCAGTATACAAGGTATAGCATCTGAAGTTAAAACCCTATCTGGTATCCTTTATTGCAGGGGGTAGTCAACCTTGGCTCTTTTATGACTCGTGGACTTCAACTCCCAGAATTCCTGAGCCAGCTAACCTAAGCTGGCTCAGGAATTCTGGGAATTGAAGTCCACGAGTCATAAAAGAGCCAAGGTTGACTACCCCTACTTTATTGGGTGATAGACTTTCTTTCATTTCTTCTGTCTTCTATCAGCTATTCAGTAGAATTGACCAGATTATATCTCCACCAGGTGAAAAAAACCATGAACAGGATTTATCATCAGAATTATAAGGTTCACGAGAAGACTGTACGAACCACAGCTGCTGCTATTATCTTCAGCAGCAATCCTTCCTTCATGGAAGTTAAGAACCTCCTCCTCTCCATTGGAGAGCTGCCACTGGAAATGAATAAGTACATGCTTTCACTCGTCCAGGACATACTACGTTTTGAAATGCCTGCCAGGTATATCAAGTATCATTGTTATTTGTGTAGCTATGCTGCGATAGAACTGCTCCACAAATATTACTCTTGTACACCACCTCCACCACATTTATATTGGGATAAAAAGCATAGGTGTTTTTTTTTTAAGGTCACAGTGAAAGCTTAACACCTCACTGGCTAGCAGTTGTATGTATTTCCCGTTCCTTTCTTAACAGAATAAGAAAGTTGGAAAGGACCTCAGAGGTCTTCTGGTCCAATCCCCTGCTTAAGCAGGAGATCCTTATCTTGGAATGATTTAACATTTTAAAAATTATTATTTATTTTTTTTAAAAGTTTTTTATTTATAAAACAGTTAAAACAAAGATGGACATAACGTAACATTCCAGTCTATATATTCCTAACAATTTGTTCTTCATCATACATATAATTATTAATCTCTATAGATACATATTTCCTATATAATACAGTCTCTAATTTGTTTCTCTATATACTGACATACAGTTTTATATATCTCTATCTTAACACTAACTTAAAACCCGAACAGTTCTCCTTGATTCACACCAACAATAGAATTTGTCCCAGATTTTGAAGTAATCTGACTCTGTCTCGTCCTTCATTTCAATTGTGAGCCTATCCATATCAGCACACGATAAGATTTTATATAAAATCTCTTCTTCTGTTGGAATTTCTTTATTCCTCCAGTTTTGTGCGCCAATCTAGCAGCCGTGAGAATATGTAGCATCAAATAAAATATCCTTTTGTCGTATTTCTGCGTAGTTATGCCTAGTAGGAAGAATTTTAAAAATTATTTTGATGATGATGATGTAGTAGTAGGAGTGGGAGAAATATGACAATATAAAAGTTAAAACAGCTTTACTCATCAGAAACATTTTTTAATCTACCTCCACATTAAGGCTAGCAAAATGCTAACTCATTTCTCTGATAGAATGCTTACTATGATAGGTTTAAAAAATTAATCAGTTTGGGGGATTTACATGATAGTAACAAAATAGGATACATTTGACAATACATTAGGCTAAATGTGGTTGGCAAGTTTGTGTTTCATTGTGTCATTTATGGTAACAGGGAAAACAGATTTACACTACAGAAGAATTACTCAATGTAAGAATAATTCTCATATAGCCTGAACTATAGAATTTGAACCAGCAATTGGTGTCATAATGATGTTTGTAAGACTGAGATTATTTTACTGTATCTTTTAGCAAATAACCATACTCTTTTAATCAGGTTAATTTCTTAAATAAATTAGTATCATCTCCAAGGAAGGTTCTTAGTATGGATTTCAGGTCAAATCATTCTGTATGAAGTGCTATTATTAAAATGTATCATTTTGGTATTTTATTGTAGAGAGAAAATGTTTTCTTCTCCAATAGAAATAAAATGTTTGTTTTTCAGCAAAATGATCCATGAAGTTCTGAAGGACATATTGATTCATAATTATGACCGGTTTTCAAAAATGGGTTCTTCTTCAGCTTTCTCTGGCTACCTAACACGTATGTGATGATCAAAATAAATATTAGATTATATTTGCATTTCTTGATTGTTTTGCCAAAATTGTAACTACAACATATAACTGTGTTTAATTAAGGTGACCAAGTTCTATCATCTACATATTGCCTTGATATACTGTATTCTGGTTCAGGCATCTTAAGAAGAAGCAACATGAATATCTTTATTTTCAATAAATTTGTTCAACTTCATGCCAGCCAGGTATGTCCCATGCACTATTAAAATAAAAACATCAGAAAAGAGCCTAACCTGCAGCTTGAGTCATGTACAGCTTGATCATAGAAAACTGCCTTAAATCAGATCAAACTATTGCTTAGGACCATGCTTGTTGTGTAAATGATTCAGAATTGCTTTAAACCTTATGCACGCACAAGCATAATTTCTCTCTTCTAGTTATGAAAGGAGTTTGGAAGATGAACAGCTTACTATTGTCCTCTTAATTCATTATAATGGTAAAGGTCCTGCTCATCATCCAGATGTTTGAGTGGTGGTGTCTCATATTGAACCTGATCTTCTAAGCTTCCTCTGATGGCATGGTTTAGAGTTTATTGTAACAGCAACTCCATCATTTTCTATTCCCTACCTTTTAAATTTAAAATATTGTTAATTGGCCAGATGAAAAAAATGTTTCCATATCATTAATAATTATAATAGCTGCAGTTTTTATTAGCCTGAATGCTCAACTATGCCTATTGAACTTTGATAGAATCATAGGATGAGAAAGGATCTAGAAATCATTTATTCCCAACCCTTCTCATTAAAGACTCTGTAAAACTTGATGCATGACTAAAGCAATCTGCATAAATCCCTCCAATGGATTTATAGGACAGCTAAGAAAGTCTAGTTCCTTGTCAAACAAGAACTTCCATAAGATTTCTCTACATTGATCAAAATCTGCCTTTCTGTAGCTTCCACCTATTTTTTCCCCCTAGTCCTGCCCTTTGATGGCAGTTGTCATGTCTCCTTTCCTTTTCAATCTAGCAGTTATCTAGAAGAGTCTTGTGCTGCTTCTCAGTTGTAAGAAGGTATGGATAAGAGATGAATAATATAATAATCTTGCTGAATCTAGAACAAAATGTCGCATACACCTGTTCGTTTTCCCATGTGCTATGTGTTGTTGCTTCCTTTTAGGTGGTAATTGAAGCTCAAGGTCTGGAATCTATTATAGCTGCATCTGCAGATGAAGGCGAAGAAAATCTTGAATCCTTTGCTGGTTTGTCAGCAATCATGCTTGATGTTCAACTTCGGCCAGTTACTTTTTTCCAAGGATATAGTGATTTAATGTCTAAAATGTTCTCAGCCACTGGAGACCCCATGAATGTAGTGAAAGGGCTCGTCCTCCTGTTGGATTTCTCACAGGTATGTACTGTGAAATGTATATACTGGAAACCTAATATTCTTGGGTATTTCAATGTATTTCTTGGGTATACTTATATTGCTTAAGTGGGTTGAAAACAGGAGGAATTCTGAATAACGATGCACCAGCTGAATCCCTCCACAGAATTTCTGGAGAGTAAATTATTTTGAGTCCAGCAGGACAGACTTCTGAATAAATAAGCACCCACGAGAGCTGCATCATACTTTGTTTTATGTATTGTAGGAAGACTATAAACATATTTAATATGATTTCTAAGACATGTGAACCTTAAAATGTTGGCTGTCAGCATGCAACTGAAAAGACTTGCTGCGACCCTGAATTGCTTTCTGTTTTAAGTGTTCCCAAATGGACTCTGTGCAATGGATTCCCAATCCAGTTGTAAGGTTTTGACAGCTGGGAGAGCCAGTTTTGGCAGGAAGCTACTTTATCCATAAAGCTATGTCTCTCATTGAATTATATGGGAAACCATTTGTCCCTTTATTCAACAGCTTTATTATACCATTATACCAAAAATGGTCGAGAATCCTTTGGCTTATGTGGATGATATCTACTGATATTTACTGCATTACAAATTAAATCTGTGAAATTTTAAAATATTTATTATTTAAAATATTTATTTGACTTAGTGGACCTCCCGAAGACACTCTGAGAACCACTGGTCAAGACCAAAAATATCAACAAGAAACTTGCATGAATAGTGCTGAGGGGACAAATGTTTAGTTTCTGTGCAATATGAAACAACTGTCTCAAGAACAGTTTTTGTTATTAAAAATGTACTATAGAATAGAATAGAATAGAAAATAGAATAGAAGAGTTGGAAGGGACCTTGGAGGTCTTGTAGTCCAACCCCTTGCTCAGTCAGGAAACCCTATATCATTTCAGACAAATGGTTGTCCAATCTCTTCTTAAAAACTTCCAGTGTTGGAGCATTCACAACTTCTGGAGGCAAATTGTTCAACTGATTAATTGTTCTAACTGTCAGGAAATTTCTCCTTAGTTCTAGGTTGCTTCTCTCCTTGATTAGTTCCCATCCATTACTTCTTGTCCTGCCCTCAAGTGCTTTGGAGAATAGTTTGATTCCCTCTTCTTGGTGGCAACCCCTGAGATATTGGAACACTGCTAGTCCTTCTCTTCATTAAACTAGACATACCCAAATCCAGCAACTGTTCTTTATGTTTTAGCCTCCAGTCCCCTGATCATCTTTGTTGCTCTTCTCTGCATTACTTTGAAATGTCTCTCTGTGTAGCTGTTCTACACTGTAAGCTTCATCCATGGACCTTCTGTTCTCAGCAGGTTGAGTAGCTCAGTTTCATGGAATGGAGAGATTTTTATTTACACCAAAGGGAAACCTCAAAAAGGGAAACTGAGAAGTAGAAACAGAAAGTATTTATGCCCTCCTAAAACATTACTAATCTGAACATATATTAGATAAGCAAGAAATATTATATGTGTTCTTTTTTTGTTCTTAGGCTATCCAGCTGCAATCTGGACTGATTTGCAATGCTGAATTCAAGGGAGGTATGACTATTGATGTATCAGGAGGAATGGAGTTCAGCCTTTGGTACAGAGAATCCAAAACAAAAGTTAAAAATCGGTGAGACATCTAATTTAGTTCTGGAAGGAGATATTAAATTTCATCATCAACATGAGGGATTTTAAATTTAGTTAGTGTATAAAATTTTTAAACATTTTAAAAATTTAGATCCTTAGCTGAAAGAGTACTTGTATGAAAACATGTGGAAAAGAGAGAAAATGTAGCTTTACTATTTCTGCAGAGGATTCTTTTTCTATATGATTCTGAAAACCATAGCTGAAACATCTGGTACAAACTGCGATAGTGAAAACATGAAATGTGTATTGCAGCCACACAACACAAACCCCGCATTGCATACTTGCATCCCAACATCAATTGCAAGCTGATAGTCTTGTGAAAGTGAAATGAAACTTTCCTCCATTTGACTGTCAACTCGCAACTGATGTTTATATCGTTTGTATGGCAATATTTCATAATTTGGCCTCCATGGATCAGTTGAACCATGGAATAGTAAAAACTGTTACTTATACCTTTGGTAGCTCAAAGCGTGTTTATTGTCTTTATCAGGTGTTGAGCAAAGCTTGTGTATTGCCTTTATCAGGTGTTGAGTAAAACTTGTGTATTGCTTTTATCAGCTTTGAGTAAAATAATTTGTGGAACAATACCTGAGAACTTCTGGGGTGAGCCCATATTTTTCCAGTTGTCAGATTACTATATTTAGTGATCACAACCAGAGGGCTAGGGTGAGGAATGTTGCAATTTGTCATTCTGCAAAATGTAGGGAATCAGATTTATTATTCCTGTCCTGTCCAGGGTTTGAATTCCTGAAACATCAGGAATTAATGTTTGAACTTTATAGCCACTTTTCTTTTTCTCCTCCTATCCTTAGCAACATCAATTTTTGACTGCTAGGAGCAGTCAGTAATATGGAGGAAGCCAACGTGACATGAGATTTTTATACAGAACAGTTTGTCTAAAAGTTATCAGTTGGAGGAGATATTATTTCAATATAATATCATTCAATTTTTAACAACTTGTTTTTTTTCACTCCTCTTTTGTTTCAGGGGAGCTGGGGCGATGATTGGTAACTTTGTGGTTGATGCTATGTTTGTGAAGGCTGGCTTGGAAACCACTTCTGAAATCGAAGCAACGTTGGATTTTGTCACCACAGTGAAATTTTCACAATACCCATTTTTAGTCTGCATGCAGATGGATAAAACTGAAAGCCCATTTAGGTAGGAAGCAACTAGAAATGTTTATTGATCTGCCTAGCATTTTAATACAGCTTTCTACTATCTGATTCTGGAGAAGATCATTATGTGTTAAGTAAATAAGAAATTATAGTAGTGTTACATGCAATTTGTAAAGGAGGTTGGATGGCCCTTAAATTAGTCCCTAATTATTGATTGCCCTAGTCTCATTACCAATCCTAGTCCCAATTTATCACCATATTCTGGCAGGGATTTTTACAACCCCTTCAGCCTTGCAAAGGAGGTTTCAATTTCTTTTCTCCAAGAAGGGTAAAGCAAATATGGTATGATCAAAGATTGGTGTCATGATAGACAAGTTTAGGGAGAGACCTCTACTTTCCAACAGTGTTCACCACCACCTTTGGTGTGACTTCTGGAAATACCTAGAGATATAGTCTAGAGAGATTTTTGATCTCTAACAGATTAGATAATCCAGGTCATACCTAGAGATATAGTCTAGAGAGATTTTTGATCTCTAACAGATTAGATAATCCAGGTCATCATCGTGGAAAAGACAGACTGGCTGAGGAAATTAGTTTAACTCTATGCAAAATGGAATGTATTTAAGACTAAATCTGACTACCCTGGAATTAGTTGACTGAATCAAATATTATTTTTTTTATAATTCCCACAACACATTAACTCCTTCCTATAGATCCAGATCATTTGACTACTTTTCCTGTGGCCTTTTCCACAGAATATGTCAGTGATTTTTATTGTTCACCACCCAGAGTCCCTCTCTGAGGAAAGATGGGCAGTTCTTAAATATGATAAATAAATAAGCAAAGAACTGGAATTTTATATAAATGGATATAGCATATTGTATATCTATTTAAATGCTATCAATGTACTATGTGATGCTAAAGGGCAATTGAACTTCAAAGATATGTGACAGATACATATCAAGAAGATCAATATTGCAGGCTATATTAGAACCATCCATTTTCTGGCAGAAGCTAATGGTAAACTTTAATTTGTAAGGAAGTAAAAAAGGAAATAGGGGTTAATTCCACTTAAGGAATTAATTTCAGGAGAACTGAATGGCTTCCCCATTGGCTTTGCTTGTTGGAAGCTGACAAAGGCCACAGTGCTAATCATGTATGTCTGGAGATTCTGCGATGGCCAGAACTATGAGGGCTAGTCATAGCAACCACTCATTCAGCACCATTGCAAGTTTGAACTGTTCCTGAACAAGTGGCCATTAAATGAGAAGCTTCTGTATCTGCAGAGCAGTGATCAGCAAATTATTCAGCTGCCATTGTAATGGTCTAAGCATCCTTAAAGACTGCTTCCAAAAGGACACTAAATTTCATGATCTCACATGTTTATACACTTATTTTGAGAGGTATCTGAGATTTTATAGAATTTTCTCCACAGAAGAGATTTCATAATTCTCACAGAAGATTATCATAATCTTATAAGATTAAACAGTACTTGCCTTCTGTAGGAACCATACTGCTACTCTCCGTTGTTGAGGAAAATTTTTGAGTAATTTTTTAGTTAGAGACTGCATTCCTCTGAGGTAGTAGTCAAAATGTACATAACACTCTCCAACCCTCATGCATTCATATGGAAGGTCTGAAAGATACCACTGTAGATATACAATCGCTTGAATGCAAGCATAGATTGTTTTTAAACATCTTATCTTCACCAGTAATACTGCTCCTATTCCTCCTGACTTTGGCCTTGATCTATGCCAGGGGTCTTCAGACTTGGCCCTTTTATGACTTGTGGACTTCAACCCCCAGAATTCCTCAGCCAGCGTGCCTGGCTGAGGAATTCTGGGAGTTGAAGTCCACAAGTCATAAAAGGGCCAAGTTTGAAGCCCCTTGATTTTTGCAAAGAAGTTCTCAGTAATCAAGTTTTCCCAAAATTGGCTCAGAACAGCATCTGACATTGTGTTCAAGGAAAAGTACCTTGATGTCAAATTTGTATATCTATACATCAGCCCAGGGCCCAGATTATTGATTCTCAAAGCCATAAAAAGTGTATTTCATTCATTTTTATTCGATGTTGCTCTGGAAGATTATGGATAAGGAAAACTTAAAACACAATCCCTTCCAATTGTGTGTGTCATTAAGGATTATTCCTAGGATTAAAACATGCTGTCCCTCTAGTAATACAGTATAATCATATCACTATTTTTTTTTGCAGGCAATACCTAACGAAATATGAAAGTCTTCCTTCTGGAAAGCCATATGTCTCTCGGAAAAGAAAAGTGAGCTTGCTGGCAGGTTCTGAATATCCCCTCCACCAAGAAAACTCTCACATGTGCAGGGAAGTTTTCAGTGACCAAGCCGATTATTCTGAAACTTGGTTTTGAAATAGGCACCTGATCTTGCATTTCACCAAAAATGAAATGCTGATTCCGGCTTCCCATTCTGCTACCTTCGTTTAGGGCCTAAGCCTATAATTTACAAGTCTGTGAGAACTTTGTTGTATCGAACTTTAAGAGGCCCAGGATTTAGTCTTGTGCACTGTGTTTACATATTTAAAAGATTTATTTTGGGTTTTGTTTGTAACATGCTAGGAAAACAACTTATTTCAAATCCAGGTGTTCATTGAAGAGCATCAGATGTGATAGGACATAATTCTGCTGGATCTCTTAAGAACATTTTCTGTTGTTTAAAAAGAAAAATAACCTGGGAGTGAGATACTTGATGGAACTGAAGTTTTAATCAGTTCCTCACTGTCTTCTGTAATGTAAAATCACTCCCTACACCCCTTTCAAAATTGTTAGCCTTGGGCAGGAAAAAACAAATAATACTGTATGTCTTGTACCTCTCTGCACCTTACAGCGATTTCAACAGCCATTTCAGTGACTTAACAGCAGTAATTTTAGACCTCCTAGTGCAGTGATGGCGAACCTTTTGGAGACTGAGTGCCCAAACTGCAACCCAAAACCTACTTATGTATCGTTGGGTGCTGGGTGGGCGTGGCCTATTGGGTGGGCGTGGCTGGGGTGGTAATGGCAGACTGGGTGGGAGTAAAAAGTTCAATCAATCAATTCCAACTTTGCGAGATCTTTTTTTTCCCGCGAGAAGTTGAAATTGATTGATTGATTGAACCTTTTTTTTTTTTTGCACACGGCGATGTAGGCCTAAAGCAAAAAGGTTTTATAAAACCCAGCTGAAGGCCTAGGACTGGGACGACGGCACGCGTGCCCACAGAGAGGGCTCTGAGTGCTGCCTCTGGCACACGTGCCATAGGTTCGCCACCACTGTCCTAGTGTATTTTCCCTTAGGGTCACAGTAGGGTTCATGGAAGAGCTTGTATAATTCTTGACTGCAAACTTTTCTAGTTTTCCACACCAGGGAAAGTTGTTTGAGAATGCTATGCATCTTAGGCAAGATTGCAAAGAAATATGCCTGGAGAAATGTGCACTGCATTTCATTGTAAATACATGCAAATGAAAATGCAAATTTTAAAAATAACTTTAACAACTTTCATAACAGAAACTGAGAAAATGTTAACAGATTTTTACAATGAGAAAAAAAACTGAAGTTTGAAACAATTAAACACAAAAGAAAAAGCTGCAATAACTCCAGTCAGAAGTTTCCTTTTCTCATATTTATTTTAAGGATTAATATCATTTGGTGTTACAAGTCAAAACACAGCAAATACATATTGTTTCTTAAACCACACAAAATCTATGTTCATTATGGGAATTATTGAAAATTACTCAATAAAACAAATACTATTTAAAATATATTCAGGTTGCCCTTTTTAGCTATTTTACACTCAGTGTTGAGAAATCATAACTTTAATGGAACCATTAAAAAGTGGCTGTTGATAAAATATAAGTTAAGATTTAAGTTAACTCATGTGTTCATAATTTATCTTTATTTTTACTTTTACATGCATATGTTAGATCTATTTGAAAAGAGGGTGGGAAGACAGTAGAGTTCAGAACATTAATTTTCCTCCCTCTTTCAAAATCTGATTCCCATGTAAACAAACAGAGTCCAAGATGGTGCTTTGTCAAGATCTTATATGCTGCAAGTATCAACGTGATGTTCATTCATCACAAAACTGGAACAGAAACCAGATCAGAGATCAAGAACAGATTTTTTTTTCTTTCTCAGTTTATTATGGCTTTATAGTAATCTTTTCCATATGCTAGGTTGGAAATTGATGCCTATATCACTGTATGATGTAAAAATTTGTAATTTTCTGACCTGACTGGAAAATGTCCCTTCCCTAGTTTGAGAAGTACAAAATATAATTAGTTTTAAATTAATCCATTTATGTAATGGAAAAATTGTTGTGGCTTCCTTCCCCCAGCCATTTTCTAATAAAAGTAACATGTGGAATTGCCCTCAAATTCTCATTTCAAAACTGATAATGAAATGAGTAAATAAAATCTCTGAACTGAGGAGTGCTTAGACATTCAGGAAATTTCTAAAGATGACTCAACCCCATTAACAATGCAGCTTCCTCTCATCTGAGACTGTACAGTATATATATATTGTCTTAGTGCAGATTTTCTGTTTTACTATTTTGGTTTGATTGTAACTAAAAAAAATCTGTGATCCAGCACTGTTACTGTTTTTCTGCCAAAGTCTTGAATGGTTTTGGAGTTTTGTAACTGAGTTCATATAACAAGCTATGTTCTAGATCTAGATTAACAAAAAACAGTTTCCTAAATTAAATCATATTATGGCTTAATATGATAGTCCAGCTCATACAACATGTTCAGTCACTGCTGAGTTTCTTATAACATGCAGACCTAAAACTATCACCCTTTTTTTAGTCTAGATTAGCATGCTGAGCAAATCCAGCCTATAAACACTAAATCGCCCATTATAACAGGTGCAATCAAACTTTCATAGGTAGCAAAGGAGGGATTTTGACAAGACTGCAATGAGCAGAGAACATCATGTAAATCATTAGGGGTAAATTTTTAAGAGGGGAGAAAGGGTAGAATTTTTAATATTGTAGACTTTACCACATAATAGGAGTCTTAAACTGTAAGAAGTAATTTTAGTCTGTTTCACACCTATACACAGAACTATGCCAGTTTCAGTTGGAAACTGCCAAATTTTGATCTCAGATATCAGGTGCTCAGAAAACAATGGTTCAGTGCTATGGACAGGATGTAGATCATACGTTGCTTCCTCCTACTGTACTTTAAATCCCCGTTCTTCTGTGAGAAGGTCAGTGTAAGTTGATGCTGAGGGCATGAGAAGTGGCCTTCCACAAATGTAGCAGCATAGTTAATAAGGCATAGTCATAACTACTATTGAGCATTTCTGTTCTGCTGTGTGTTTTTGCTTGTCTGTTGGCATACCTTACCAGAGTATCTGGCCTTTTCTTCCTACTAGGTCTGTTCCATTTTAGCCATTAAAACCATATGATCAGTGTTGTAGTTACTGGAAAGATTCTATATAAACATTCTTAATGTACTGTATATAGCCTCTTCTCTGCAGATGCTGCGTTTACCTATTTGGTAAACAGTAAGTAAAGAATATTGAAGTAATAGAAGCAGATCTACACTCTGTTTAAATATACATCTGGTGGATTTAGTTAAAGTTGTAACATTGCATTTTACGACTTATCTTTTGAAAACAAATTTCTCACACGTTCCTAACTAGGTATTAGGAAAGCTTAGAATGTATTCTTGGCAAACTTAGATAATTTGTTCCCACTTAATTATCAAACACTCCACTGGCCAAGAAGTGACTAAATGTTTTTATTGCTACAATGTAATAATAATAAATATATATCTGATCCACACAAAATATTGAAGCCCTTATTTAGTAAGTGTGATTTAATTTACATTATTTATATTTTCTATATATGTTGGCCACAAGATTTCAGATTATTTTTTAAAAAAATAGCACTGGACTTTGATCAGTGAGAGGGGTTTGATCTCCATACAGTGACAAAGTTCACTAATATAGGATAATATTATAGAGTTCTTATGATGATGAGGTCCATAGAAGACAGAGCAATAGTATTATGTATAAACTTTTTATTGGTTGCATAAGCAACACATTATCTTTTGATTGATCTTCTAATTATTATCATTTTAGAGGCATCAAACTGATGTTGATTTTCATTTCATGTTATGCTTTACTGCATTTCCTTGAATATAAAGGAGCAAAATAAATGAATGAAACCATTCTCAATGAATGGCTTAATGCTAAGACTGGCCAGCATGGAGGTGTTAAATTTGGGCATTGGCATTAATCACGCCTAAAGGTCAGTTCAATAGGTTGATGATTTTATGCTTTTTGATATCTGTTTCAAGGTATTCTATTCATTTGGGACCTATAAAATAAATAGGAAAAATGTTAGCCTTTTGTTTCTCATTATTTTGCGCAGGTTTTGTTTTGTGGTGTGTTTGTTTTTCAGTAGGTACATTAGTAAAGGACAATGTGGAAATCAGAGGCGAGAGTTGCCTTTACTATCTACCATTTAAAAAGAAAGAATGAAAACTTTGCAGCTAATTCACTGCTAGTGGTGTAGAAACTGAATTTGACACCTCTAGTTCTGAGTGTGAAATGCCCATTTAATATGAAAAATACTTCTTTTAAATGCAAAATTGGTTGTGAGGTATTTTGAAATTGTGAGGTATTTCCATTTTGGAAGAGTTACATTTGATCATCTTTCTTGAACTCAAAGTACTTCCAAGATGCTCAAAAAAGCCTGTTCTAAATTTGAGGCAACTGTTTAATTTTTGTAGGTAGTTTTGTGCTCAACAGACAGCCTTGGCAAATCTTTGCTTATCCATAACCCACTTCACCTTCTGCATTATTGCAACATATATCTTTCAAGGACCTATAAAAGACCTTTGGAGGTTCAAGGGTTCTCCAGGTTCGCCAGTGTAGCTGCCCTTTGAAGGACAGCACAAGCATGGAACAACTATGTGTTCTTTTCAGAAAACAGAGTAAATTATAATTCATAATTACACAATTCGTTCCTTGGCTCTCATTTCTCACTTTTGTGGTTTCTATATCTATTCTGCCTTCCTTAAAGACATGGCACTATAAACCTTAGAGAATGGCATTGTATTAACATATAGTCGGTATTTTAAGAAATGGAGAATAATGTTAGTGTCTTTTTAGTTCCCCTTGGTGAAAAGATGGTGAATCTTAATTTAATTTTATATGAGTCTATTCTTTATTTTACGTAACAATATTTATGAGATAATTTTCCCCTGCATTATAGATTAATAGGTTTCTAATACAATATTTTTAAATAATCCAGGCAGAATACTGAGAGGTTGTTTATAATATCGTTTACTGAAAAATACATTTTATTTGTTATAACATTCAAAAAATATACAAATCCTTGCTTATTTGCTTAAAAAGTTTGCTT